TATATATATATATATATATAACAAAACGTATTTATAGTAAAATGTATTTATAATAAAACATATTCAAAATATCATATTACAAACATATTAATAATTTATTAATAACCAAAAATTTAAAAAAAAATCATTTTTTTTTTAATAGGCCCGGTCTGGACCGGTTATGGGACCGGGACCGGGACCGGTTGGGACAACCGGTTACTAATAACCTTGACCGGTTACAAGGAAAATCACCGGGACCAGGACCGGTTATGTCGGGACCGGTTACCGCCGGTTTTTGTCGCGATTAGGCCCGGTAGGGACCGGTTAAGGCCCGGCCCGGGACCGAATTTTGGCCACCTCTAATGCCACATAACAAAATAGTGATATAGTTAAATGTATGGGCCTATTGGGTCGCATACAAAGTTTTATCAATGTAAAAGCAAGAAATAATATTTAAGGGTTTAATGGGTAATTAATTAAAAAGGGTTAATTCATTACTAGAGTGACTAATTGATTATTAATCTAAACCTATTTGGGCTTAATTATGATATCTTCAAATTTATATTTTATTCAAAAATAAAAACATCATCATTTTTTTCAAAATCACATAAAACCACATCATAACATTGAAATATTAAAATCAAGATGTATGTCGCTGCATTGCACGAGAAGAGAAATGTGATTTCTTACTGTTTACAAGTGATAGAAGCTTTGGGGTGTGAACACGATAGAAAAGGATTCTGCTATTGGATTCTTCACTTCCATCTAAAAGGTATTTCTAATCACCCACAATGTTTGTTTTGTTACTCGTATCAGATTGTAACCAGATCTCTGGAAGGTTGTATTTTTCGGTTTTGTTTGCTTCCGCTGTTAATGTTTTAGTTATCGAAATCTATCACAATCCAACAGTTAATTGAATTAGTTGATGTGTTTTATGTTTTTCAGTGAGCATTGGGTTTGCTTCCATATTCAGTGGATATTTTATATATGGAGTTTTCATCATGTAAATGGTGGGTTTCGAGAAACGTTGTTTCCTAGAATTCGGTGTTACAATGAGCCATTGGTTCATGGTCCCGTCGTAAATGGGAAAAAGTTTACATTTTTGAAAGGTGCTATCATAAGCAGATGTTGTGGAAAACCTTTCCTTTCTTGCCAAGTAGTGGTGGCCAACCGGCCCGGCCTGGGACCGGTGAGGACCGCCGGTTACATCCGGTTATGGTTTTTGTCGGATTTGTGGGACCGGGCCCGACCCGGCTCGAAATATTCAAAAAAATGACATTTTCTTAAATATAGGCATTAACTAGTCGTTTTTGACCCTTTTTTTTTTGTATTTTTTGGCCTCTAAACACTACAAATATGTAACAAGGTTGAGAGATTTACATACCAAGTTCTCAATTTGCAAAAAACGCAAAAAATGTTCATAATTCTCGTAACAAAACGTATTTTTAAAGTGTATTTGAGTGATCCGTACAAAAAATATCTTTCTAAAATGGTGCTCCTATTGCCAAGGGACCAACCAATTAATCTACCATGTTTATATGAAAAAATTTAATGTTTTTTTTACCTTTATTAAATGGTGCTCCTGTTCGAAAATTTTATGGGGTCTACTTCTAATTATAGGAATTGTGTAATTCAGTAGATTCGTAGATAAAGGAGTCAGTGTTATTGTTTTCTAATAGGATGGTTGTTCCCGTATTATGGCCATAAATAAGCATTGGGTCATCGGGGGCATCATGGTGCGGACTCTTGTAGTCGGACATCTGTCATTGACCGTAAGAGGTAATTTCTGAGTCGGTTTTATGGGGGGTCTTTTCCCATGTTGTAATTATATGTAGGCATTGGGTCATCGGGGGTAGAAGTGTGTCTCGGGCAGGATCGACGGGTTCGGGTGGGCAAATCAAAAACCTGGACGGATTTCAAATATGGAAATCAAGCTCGGGTTTTAAGTTCAGATTTTAGGTTGCTTCTGGCTCGGGTTGGTCGGGTATCGGGTTGAGGCGGTTGGGTTAAGGTTATTTATAATGCAAAAAAATATGTATTAAATCAATTTAAAGGGTTGATAAATCGATAGTATACTAAGAAATTGGAAAAGAACACAATCGACTAGGAATTTTTAAAATAAGATAAATAAATATATTTATATAGTATTTATAAAAATATGTGTATATGTGTGTGTGTGTGTATATATATTTCGGGTTTTCGGACAAATCGGGTGGTCAAAAATCAAACCAGACCCGAACTAAAATTTCTCCCCAAAAGTTGGTGTTCGAGTTTTTTGGATTCCGGGCATTTTGGTTTTGCATAAACACCTTATTTTCGTTGCGGGTTCGGGTTCGAATTTCGGACCATTCGGGTTTTGCACACCCATAATGGGGGGGCATCGTGATGCAGGCTTGTAGAGTCGGACCATGGCAATTGACCATATGGTGTAATTTCTACTAAACGAGCAAATCTAAGATCATCGGGGGTCCCAAGCAAGGTTGTTGAACTTGTTGACCATTGATCCATAGTGTAACTCATTAACACAGATTTGTGGCTTACACTTTTGTGTTCATCACATTCCGTAGATACGGGTCTCCCCCGTCACCGAAAGATATTGTTTTTGGATAGTATATTATTCATGTTTTTTGTATTGTTTTGAATATGGAGTGTATCATAATAAATGTTTTGGTATCTTGGTTTTCATCCATGTTTTGATGTTTTGGATAACAGAGCTTTATGCATAATTTCAGTATTTGATTATTAAACTTCATTTATGTTTTGGATAAGTAATGGGTAACTGTAGATATCTGGACTAGCTTATGCGCACAAACTAATCCCCTGGCCGACCATAAATAGCTTGAAGTCATTGCAGGTGAACCTCCATGGCCAGGAGGTCTTTGGCAGCGCACGGATTCAAACCCAGGTAGATGAGATTCTCAATTTATTTAATTATTTGACCATTTTTAACCATTACATCATATTTTAATAGATAGTCAAAACTTTTCATTTCTTTTCCTTTCAGAAATGTGTATTTTGAGGCATACTGTTATCGATTATTTCACAAAAAATAGCCCTGTGTATCATTTTCCAGTAAAACGTTGGCCACTAGTCCCCTATGGAGCAGGCTAAGTAGAAATCTTGAGTATAGTTTTGATGGGTCATTGCAAACAAAGTGACTCTTATGGCAGTATTACAATCACTGGAAAGGTGGCTAGCGACCAGTTCGACATACCGACATTTAATAGGGTGGTTCGTCAGCATATCTGACAAAATTAGCCATCACTTGGTGGATAACTGACGATAACGTCAATCTGCTGGGGATAATGTTTCGTCGATAACATTGATTGTAAACCACTTAATATGCATCATGTACTATTAATAAACATGGGTTGTACTTCATATATCACCATAATATACACTATATTATAAAATATTTGAATAAAAATTTAAAAACAACTTATTAAACATAGGTATTCCTTTTATTCCACCAAAACAGTATCATATGCAACAATTTACCCGGTAAGTGTTTACCGTGGTAAGTGTTTATCGTGGTAAGAGTTGTCACCCTTACTTACCGGGTAAGATTTTTGGTTCTTGTTTCGTTCTTATCGAATAAGATTCTTGATCATTACCTATTTATCTGGTAAGGTAATGTGACTTGATGTTAACTTAACTGAGTAAACGTTTGGTAAACGACCCAAAAATCCTGCTATTTTGACATGATATTCCATCTTTATCTTTATCTACAAAAGTACTAAAACATCAAAAGAATTAATTAATTTGTATTTTTATTAAAAAAAATTCATCATTTTTATATGAGAAATTGCATTAATTTTTTATCATCGGTTTACAACAACATCTTGTATTTTTCAATAGTTGTAAATTGATTCAAAATTATTATGTTAAATTACGATTTATATCCATTCAAATTTCATCATGGATCAAATAAATGTACTACAGATATATTGCCTAATACCAACTCCAAAATGTAAAATTTGGGTCAGACATTTTATCGAACACCTTTTGTACCATTTGCCCCCCACACAAGAATTGAAGAATGGCCTTGTAATTTTGATGGTGGTCCATCTCCATGGGGCCACCATTCACCGTGATTTACCCAATCCACCACCTCTTTCTTTCTCAACTTCACATCTTTCTTTCTTGAATTCAGAGAAACAAAAGGCACTTCAAACTTTTCCCATTTTCTTATTTTTGTCTCTGCCTTCATCTTCTTACCATCATGACCTCACCATCGCCGCCGCCGACGCCGACGCCGTCGCCATCCACAACCCAACAGCCACCACCGGTTACAGAACCTCAGCCACTTCAGACGGATGTTTCCCCACCTGGGTTTCCCTTGGTTCCATTAAAGAAAGAACCTTTCTTGGAAGAACACCAGCTGTGTGAAACACTTCCACTTCCACCTCCGCCGGCGAAGTCTCAGCAGCCTCCCTCAAGGAGGTCGTCCACCAAGGACCGCCACACGAAAGTGGAGGGTCGGGGAAGAAGGATCCGAATGCCGGCAACTTGCGCCGCCCGGATATTTCAGCTGACCAGAGAGCTTGGCCACAAGTCCGACGGCGAAACCATCCAGTGGCTTTTACAACATGCTGAGCCATCCATTATTGCCGCCACCGGCACGGGTACTATCCCCGCCATCGCTATGTCAGTCAACGGAACCCTCAAAATCCCCGCCACCGCCACCACCACCGCCGCCGCCGCCGCCACGTCCACCACCATTACTGATAAAAAACGCAAACTCCCTTCTGATTTCGACATAAACCGAAACGAAGATACTCCCACCACCACGACCACCACAACCGTTCTCGCTCCTCTCATGACCACCAACACCACCACCGGACAACCTCAATCTTTCGTTCCGGTATGGGCCATACCCTTTAACGGAACCACCGCGTTTTGGGCGTTACAACCATCAGCAACTCCATTTCTAAACATCTCATCTCGGCCCATCTCCTTTTTCACCTCCGGAGACCAAAAACCAACATCAATTACCACAACAAATTCGATTTCCAGCATTCCCACCACCACCTCCGCCGCCACAAGAACTCAACCGCCGAGAGGTTTTCCGGCGAATCTTGACGACAGAAAGGTTGAAAGAAAGGAGTTTGTTTTCATTCAGGCAAATCATCAAACACCTTCCGAGCATTGAAAAAAGGACTTACTTTTATTTCCCTTTTCTTTAAAATCCAATTTTCTTCCATTATCGTCAAGAACGTGAGCACGTGAGTGAAGAAAGAGTACGTGTAAAGTGGGGTCTACATGGTGGGCAGGCTCTTGGGTGTAGGTGAAATGTGGTGGGGTCCAAAGTCATGGTGCACTGCGTGGACCCCATTAAAGGACCACCTTTGGTGGATCGTGGGCCACTTGATTTGGAAACCGTCGATTTATGCGGCATTAACTAGAATCCAGTATAATGTGGACCAGCGGAGCATACGGCATGGAACTTCGCTACGTGGCACAATCCGGATGGCTCTATCACACTTTGTAGGGTTTTGACACGTTGGATGTTTCCCATTGGTTAATCAACTATTTCTTTTTTCTAGCTTTTTATTTTATAACTTTTTAATGGGTACCATTTTAGTTTTAAAGAAATGCACGCCGGTGGTACGGTGCACCCTCACCCCACCCGACCTGACCCGACCCGCTCGTATTTTGTGTATTAATGACTTGTATCATACATAATAAAGCGTGTATGTTGATCAAATTCAGATATACGAAATATTCGGTTATAATCTAGGACGTCAATTTTAACTGATATAAGTTATTTTCAGTTCTGGTATCCATCTGATATCTTGAATGAGACGATAAATAACAGTCAAGTAGTTTTCAACCTTATCGGTTAGCTTAACTGACAATAAGGTTTGAGATTTACAGAGAGGTTACCGGTTCGAATCCTACAACACCACCTACAGTTAACGGAAATTGCAACATATAAATAGGTCTCTATGTCCGAATGGAGCTCTTGAATTGATCATTGAAGTGGGGTCATACAACTCGCTTTTTAGAAACGTGTGACTTTCAGTTACTTCATACTTCATCTGTCTCAAAAATAAACGTTCATATTTTTATTTTTTCTCTATTATTATAAATAAAAATATATTTTGATTAATTCAAAAATATAATAATTACATATTTCTAAAACTATATTATATACATTTATTTTAAGACATAAAAAGTTTAAAATACATACAAAATGTGATGGTAAAACCTAGGGTTTGTAATCAATGGACCACAAATAAATTAATTATGAATTTAAAATACCAATTAATAAATACTAAAATGGAAATAAAAAGAAGAAAAAGAGGCAAAAAGTGGGACCAGTTTTGGCAAGGAAAATGCGAATATTCTTATATGGGTAGACGAGTCGGCTTGTAAAAATAATTTCAGGTTAATAAATATAATTAGAAGGGTATTCGTGTAATGTATCGAGATATATTTTTATTTTAATGTTTCGTTTTATTTTTTATTCATGTCGATATAATACGATTTTATGTGGTTTTGAGAAAACGACAATGTTTCTATTTTTGAATAAAATATAAACTTGAAAATATCATATAAAATTTACAAAAACTATATCAATATTAGTATCAAATTAACTATTTAAAAGTTCTTGTTTATGTATTTTTTTTTTAATTCAAATTTTTTATCATAATTTAATTTAACGTAACGAAGTAACTTAAATTAGGTTTAATAATATTTTTTTTTAAATACTAGAAGGGTACTCGTGCAATGCAACGAGATACATTTCGATTTTAATGTTTAATTTTTATTTTTTTGTCTCTACCGATATTGATATTAGTATCAAAATTAACTATTTTATAGTCCTCGTTTTTGGTGCAATATCTTAATTCAATCTTTTTGTTATAATTTTAAATAATAAAATAATTTATTTTTAGTTTAATAATATAATTTTTTATAAAGATAATAATTAAACATTATGTTAAATAATTATATTTTAGATTTTCTATATATTTAAAATTAGATTTTTATTTTGTATTTGTTTATATTTATCTGCACTTAGTTACACGAATTTAAAAATAGAGGTTTAATAAGTTATAATTACGCACAATCTACTTGCAATCTTGAGTTTTAAGTAATATGTATTAATAAACAATACTTTACGTATAAAAAGTGGTTTTTAAGAGTTTTTATCAAATGCTTTATAATATAGTATATATAATAATTAAGTATTCTGTTAGAACTCAATAATTATCCTAATTATATTTAAGATTTTTTATATTTTAAAATAAAATGTTTATCCTCTATTTGATTATGTTTATCCGCAGTTAGTTACACAAATTCAAACATAGAGCTTTAATAAGTTGTACTTATGCACGATTTACTTGCAATCTTGAATTTTAAGTAATATGCATCAATAAACAGTACTTTATGCATAAAAATGATTTTTAAGAGTTTTTGTCAAATGCTTTATAATATAGTATAAATAATATATAAATGTGTATAATACATTGTATTTGATAAATTGCATGGAAAAGTAATGTACTTTAACTTGATTCTTATTTTAGGTAATGTACCTTTAAAACTTCCATTTTGATACCTAAGATGTAAAGTATAAAAATTTTAAGTACCCGAGTAACCGGTTGAAGCATTAAAATGGAATGTAACATATTTTCAAAACTTTCATTTCCTATTTTTACATCTTTGTTAACAAAATGGAAGTTTGAAAGTACGTTACCCAAAATATGAATCAAGTTAAAATACGTTTTTTTTCACGCAATTTGCCAAATTTGAAAATATGAGTTTTGTGCTTCTAACAACAATTGTTCCGGTGCATCTATGTACATTTTATTGATATTGATCTTCAATTAAAATTGATCCAAGGGTGGAGATCCTTTCTTGTCTTTCTCACAGTAACTTCTATTTTCACTGGAACCCGACTTTGAATATAGATGTATAAACATTTATGGATTTAATAAATTGTATACTTTTTTTTTTGAAAAGCAAACAAAATTTATTAGCTCAGGAAGGAAAATCAAGATGAGAAAAAGACAGACAGAACCAACCTAAGATGAGAAAAAAAAAAGATAAAAACTGAGCAGTCAAGCAGCTTGTGCCTTCGGCAAAGATCCAACTATAACCATCATAACCGAAATCACCTAAAAGCCATGAACGTCATAAGATGTTTAAGCATTTTGACTGTGACGAAGCCCGAAAAAATGACAACAATTGGGTTTCAAAATTGTCTTAATAAATTGTATAAATTTATAAACCAGTTTTTTCATACGTTTGAAAATACAGTGTTTTTTCATGTATGAAACGTTTAATATTGTTTTGTGCAAGGAAAAAATAGCTTTGAACATTTCATATATGAAACAACATTCCATTTATATGTGTTTTTAACACGTGAAAATTTGTTTGCAAGTTTATATAAGTTGTAATGAAAATTTGTATAATATAATGAATTTGTATAAATTTTTTGTTCATTCATATCTATATCTATACTTATAGTAAATAAGTAACTGACATGACACGTGTCATCTTATGGTGAGCCGATTTTAGTGTTTTTCCGCCTAAACACGTATCTACACAATTTACATTAGTAGTTCAATTAAACTCAATCAATCCCACTAATTTATGATACAATTGATTTTATTCTTGGGTTAATTAATTCGTGTAATAACTGATTCCCCGAAAAAAAATGAGATTTACTTCTAAGTTTAAATTTAATTTACTGATATAGTTTCATTTCTAAGTTCAATTTTATTCTAGGGTTTTAGTTTCATTTTAACTAATTATTGATATAATTTCATTTCAAAATTCAAGTCTTAATAGTCATTCTTCACATTAATTGAGAGATTAAAGAAGAAGATCATGAAATAGGAAACTGGATCCTACTCTGAAGTCTTCTTTTTCAGATTTAGAAGTATGAACTCTGAAGTCTTCTTTTTCAGATTTAGAAGTCTGAACTCTGAAATCTTTTGTATCTGAACTCTGTATTCGAGCTCTCTGTATCCGAGCTCTGAACTCAAGGTCTTTAGACTTTGAAGATAAGTATGGAAGACTTAGTCTTGTAAGAACAATTCAGATATAGATAAATGTATAAGACTTATACTTAGTCTTGTAACATTTTCTTGACCCAGAGGCTCTGGATAGATGAACTAGAGGCTCTGTATCGAAGATCTGTGTCCGAGCTCTGTATTCGAGCTCTGAACTCAAGGTCTTTAGACTTTGAAGATAAGTCTTAAAGACTTAGGCTTAGTCTTCTAAGCATAGTTCAGAGATCTGAAGATAAGTTTTTTAAGACTTAAACTTATTCTTGTAAGCATAGTTCAGAGATAGATAAGTCTATAAGACTTATACTTAGTCTAATAACATTTTCTTGACCCAGAGGCTCTGTATCCGAGCTCCAAACTCAAGGTCTTCAGACTTTGAAGATAAGTCTTAAAGACTTAGTCTTGTAAGCACAGTTCAGAGATAGATAAGTCTATAAGTGTTGATCCTCTCTCTCAGTGATTTGATGATAATCCCTTTTTCCTTTCGATGTATTTCTGTGTCTGTAATTTCAGTTCCAGCGATCAT